TTTTTAATTTTTTGATGTTGAATAGGCTATCGCAACCATGCCATCCGACTTAGCTAAAAAGAAGGCAGCGAAGAAGAAGGAGGCTGCCAAAGGTCGCGGGCGTACCAAGAAAACTGATGAACTAGAGGATGGTGATCAACCAGAGGCCCAGTCCAATGCAGCACAGAGCAATGGTGAGAGGACTTATCTTTGAGTAAATGCTATAAGTTGTGATGTACTACGTCTTCACCTTCACAATGTCTTAATGTCTAGCTTGAAATATTGGAAAATTATGACCCAGATTATTATTGTTTTACTACAGGAATTGCCAGTTTGACAAAGGAGATTGATGAATTTGAACTGGCAAAGACAGAGGCGAGGGCTGTGACAGGCGTTCTGTCATCACACCCCAACAGCACTGATGTCCATGTTACCAGCCTGTCGCTCACCTTCCATGGGCAAGAACTGCTCACAGACACCAGCCTGGAGCTCAACTCAGGAAGACGCTATGGTCTCATGGGCCTGAATGGCACAGGTAAAATGTCTCTTCAGTAGTATTACTAAGTAGCCTGTACATTTGCAGTGCCTGGTGTACATTTTAGGAACTTGGATATTCAAACTGCTAATTTACAGCATTTACCTATTGTACAAGGGGGATTACTGTTGCTCAGAATATAAGTCGTATACCTTGTCAGGGAAGATTTAATAATCATATCTTCTTTTATCTGCCAGGAAAATCCATGCTGCTGTCTGCCATTGCCTCTCGTGAGATCCCCATTCCAGAGCACATCGATATTTACCACTTGACCCGGGAGATGCCCACCAGCGATAAGACTGCTCTGTACTGCGTCATGGAGGTTGATGAACAGAGGATTATGCTGGAGAGGGAGGCAGAGAGACTTGCCTCTGAGGACTGTGAGTTACACATGATGTACCAAGCAATGACTTCAGAGGGGAAATGTATTGTCAGAGGCAACAAACAGAATGCTGAGATATATTTAACAAGACCCACCCTATTTTGAGTGAACATAACTCCAAGCAAAGACAATGGAAATGGTATACATCACTTATCATGGTTCTTAAGCTACATTGATTGAGATCGAAATTGAATTCCTTTCTCCCCTTGCATAGCCGAGTGTGAGAAGCTGATGGAGCTGTATGAGCGTCTCGAGGAGTTGGATGCAGCCAAGGCAGAGGTGCGAGCGTCTCGCATCCTCCATGGTTTGGGTTTCACAGCTGCAATGCAGCAGCAGAAAATGAAGGACTTCAGTGGAGGATGGAGGATGCGAGTTGCTCTGGCCAGGTAAAGTGCTCAATATTAAACCATTCAGTGACATGATGTGATGCCACCTTCCTCTATCTGCATACATTTGAATTTAACCAGGGGATTCAGAGGATTATACTGTTCAATTTGTACAATACTACATTCAGAGGCAGATATTTTTTAGGCGGTGTGCTCTTTGATTAGCAATGCTTGTCAAGGGTGTAGATCTGAGAATGTAGGTTTTTCTGTATAATAAATAAAAAGTGAACTAAAAATTACAACTCAAAATTGTGTAATACCCACTTGGTGCTAAATTCAGATAAATCTAATTATGGCAGAACTGCTTCTTGTAACACGTGTGCCTGGTCCAGAAAATGGATGTTTGCTGTTAGATTCAGACATTTTCTGAGGAATACCATTGAAACCTATGATTTTTCGCGCATACAAAAAAAGGCAAAACCCATTGAAGAGAAGTAGTCCATATACCTTCCTGAATTGTAATATAAAACTGATACCATGCAATTTTAGAAACGAGTGGCCATTGAAGAGTTTATCTATACAGAACAAAAACAAGCCTCACATTTTAATGACTTTCCTATATTTCTGCAGAGCCCTGTTCATCAAACCCTTCATGCTGTTGCTGGACGAGCCCACCAACCACTTGGATCTGGATGCCTGTGTGTGGTTGGAGGCGGAGCTCAGTTCGTAAGTTCCCACCCTACTCCATCCCTTTTTACATTTGTCCTAACAGTCCAAATGTGTTGCTCATCCTGCTTCTTCTTGTCAGGTTCAAGAGAATCCTTGTGCTCATCTCACACTCCCAAGACTTCCTGAACGGTGTGTGCACAAACATCATCAACCTGCATTTGAAAAAGCTGAAGAACTACACGGTAAGAACGGTGGTCTGAAACCACTGATGGCTCCTAAAAATGAAATAACTGCAGGAGCATCCCTTGGCACAACTTTAAAAGAATCTTGAATCTATAAAAGTAAACTGGGGCAAGGCTGTAACTAATTATGTGTCTGTGTGCTGCCCTGTATGATGACCATGCAAATGTATTATTGGCTTTAAGGGTAACTATGACCAGTATGTGAAGACCAGAGAGGAGCTGGAAGAACACCAGATGAAGCGCTTTAACTGGGAACAGGACCAGATCACACACATGAAGGTAAATGAGAGACACCATGTGTTGGGATATTTTCACTGCAGCGATGCATAGTTTGAAGGATAATCTTCCAGCAAGCAAACACATTTGTGGTTGACTTTGGACAAGATTTAGTCAATTCTTGCAGTACAACATGCATCCTGTGACAGGAAATACATTTGACTAATAGTCATTTGTCCAATCAATACCTGTATTCATAGTTCTTTTTAAACCTCTCTCCTAGAATTACATTGCCAGGTTTGGTCACGGCTCTGCAAAGCTGGCTCGACAGGCTCAGAGCAAAGAGAAGACCCTGCAGAAGATGGTGGCCTCAGGCTTGACTGAAAAAGTTTCAAATGACAAGGTACTGTCATGATGACATGTGGTTTTTAAGGCTTTTGACCAAGTGACATATTTTGTAAGTGTCCAGTGGCACATGTATACTATGGCACTAACACCTGCCTCTGTCTCCCACAGACTCTCACATTTTGTTTTCCTCCATGTGGGAAGATTCCTCCTCCCGTTATCATGGTTCAGAATGTGAGCTTCAAATACAGTGACAACGCAGTAAGTACAGTTAATATTGTCGTCATCATTAAAAGTTGTAAATCCTGGCTATTTCATCCTGTTAAAATAAAATGACTACAGTAATCAACGATATAATTTATCAGGCTTTTTTTTAACAAGTCCTAGTTTAAGGCAAGCACGAAGTAGGCTATAGTCTTATCTTATGTGATGTATAGAGACCTGGAGAAATTCTACATTGCTGTTATTTTTCTTTTTCTGGCAATGCAGTCTTATTTGTGTGTACTGTTAACTATTGGTGCTTTCATTACATTTGTAAGTTGGACATAGTGACTATGTAGGGAAAGACACAATACAGTCTAGGAGGCAGTTCAGAAAATGATCAATTTATTATAATGCAGCATTAAAATGAGGTCTGCGTCCATTTTTGAAAAGTGAACCCACATTTGCTTGGGTAAATCTGTCTCGCTGACCCTCTGCCAGTCCCTGACGTATAGCTACATTCTTCAGTCACTCACCTGTTACTGTTTCCTATAGCCGCACATATATACAAACCTGGAGTTTGGTATTGACTTGGATACACGAGTGGCTCTCGTGGGGCCCAATGGAGCAGGAAAGTCTACACTGCTGAAGCTGCTGATGGGAGAGGTGGGTACAGCGTTATTTTTCATATTTACTCACAACAACCTGCAGTTTGACAAGAGTATTGACGTTCGTTCTCTTCTTTTCATAGCTTCTTCCCACCGATGGCATGATCCGTAAACATTCTCACGTGAAGATCGGCAGATATCACCAGGTATAACACTGAGCCTTTGGACGGCACCTCAATACGCGTGCATGTGTCAATAATTACCGGTCATAACCCGTTAAAGAACAGAACCTGACGGTGATCCATTTGATTCATGCTAGGCTTCTATAGAAAGTGTATTTCCCTTTGAAACTAAATGTCTCCTATGTATCTACTTCTATTCCAGCATCTGACAGAGCAGCTGGAGCTAGACCTGTCTCCTTTAGACTACATGATGAAATGTTACCCTGCTTACAAAGACAGAGAGGAGATGAGGAAGCTCATTGGTCGCTACGGGCTGACAGGAAAACAGCAGGTAGGACTGGGATATCCATCCAGATGTTATAAAACAGGACATTTCCAAATGTATTTTTATCTTTCGGTCTCTTAATTTACACATGCGTTATTTTCCAGGTCAGCCCAATCAGGAACTTGTCCGATGGTCAGAAGTGCCGGGTGTGTTTTGCCTGGCTGGCCCAGCAGACCCCTCACATGCTGTTCCTTGACGAGCCCACCAATCACTTGGATATTGAGACTATCGACGCATTGGCAGACGCCATCAACGACTTTGAAGGTGGCATGATGCTAGTTAGCCACGACTTCAGGCTAATTCAGCAGGTATATATTTATCATTTTTATTAGACGCGGCACTGACGATAAGATTTTAGTTAAACCGGTTGTAGCGAGCACCATTTATAATGTTTTTATTTATTTTTTCAGGTGGCTAAAGAGATCTGGGTGTGTGAGAAGCAAACCATCACAAAGTGGAATAGGGACATCCTGGCCTACAAGGAGCACTTGAAAAATAAGATCCAAAAGCAGGCGGTGCATGACATCTAAAGAAAAGTCCCTCAGAGGCACTCCTTTATCTCATCATGGATTTGACCTGCAAGCTCCTGAAGGAAAAGGCAGGGTTTACATTGGAAGGAAATGTCATAAACTAGAACTGAACCAATCTCTTATGCATCTTATTGGACATGTCTCTTGTACATGTTGTACTGTATTTCCATCTCGGTCCAAACACCCCCTCCCTCCCCATCCCTCTGCACTCTGATTGGCTGATTCACCTGAAGCATCTCAGTGCATTTTGGAATGCATTCCATTGTGCTGTCTTCATAGAAAAGTTTTATTTTTCCGAAATGTTCTGTTTTATCCCAACATGTATGCAGCAGCTTTTTAGGTCATATTATGATATTTCAAAGTTGACTTTTTTTTCCTGTCTAAAAGAGCAGTTCTGCCTTATTTAACAATGTAATGCAATAAAGGTTTGCCTGAATAAACGGAACATAAAAACAGCATATTCGGCTTCAGAAGACTTTAATATTTTGATTACACATTACACAATACAGTGCTCGTATCCAAAAGCCTTTAGGGAAAATAAACTATTTTACATCTCTGTAAACATAGGACAAAACTTAAAGTGATTTAAAATAAGTTGCTTTGGATTCTGGCTGCATAGACTACACTGTACACTGCTGACCCCGTCCTTCATGTCACTGGAAATGTCTGGGCTGTCCAAAGAATAGTGGCATTCCTTGGCATAACGAAACGAACACTGATAAAGGATTAATATGTACTTTTTAAACATTAACTGAATGAAATACATCATTTGGAGGCATTTAAAGAGTTTTAGGGGACGTCTGTTTGCTGTAAACTAACATCTACACAAGTCATGAAACTCATTATGCTTTACAGTAAGTTGTGTTCATGTCAAATAGGAATGGCTTCATTTTGCTGCCACCATGACAACAATATGGTCAGTTTCTCATTTTAACAAGATTTCTTTTTTTTAAAGATAGAAATACCACTATCACACAAATCAGCTTGAATATTTTAACAGGAAAACTTAGAGTTAAACATTTCTTGTTAAAAAATACAAGGAAAAATAAATATATAAACCATTGGCTTCCTAGATAATTGTTTATCGTAATGGATCTAGACATTGGCAGGTCTTAAACTATAGTTTGGTGTACACCAAAGCAATAAGATCTCATGATCATTTCATTAAAATGAGAAACTGACCAAATGTTTATCATGGAGGCAACAATATTTTTCCACACAGACGCTAAAAGTGGCATTTGTTTCACATAAAGCCAATCAAAGACTTCTGATAGAGGAGCTGATATCCTTCAGTTGAGGTAACTATCCTTTATTATCTCTTATGACATCAGTTTGCTGTACAGTTTATGTACTTTGTTTAATTCTGTCAAATATTCACACCGGCAAACTACTAACAATTGGATCTAATTCTAATAAATAAGGAGGTAAACCTCAGTTGGAAATGTATTCTTATAAATCCAACATGAAATTAATACAGCTCAAGATCCAATGTTAGTTTGACTAATCTGCCTTCACATCTTTCCAAAAATGATTGACTTATTGTTATTTAGCTTTCACTCAAATATGAATATATGAGGCTGTTAGTCATGGTCTGAAAATACATGCTGCGTTACATTTAATATGTTATTTCCTGTCGTCCTAAAAGGTGCCATCCAGGAATGTCACAGATAGCTCTATAGGCCTGCATATAAAGCTTTATCACTTGTCACATGGAGTTTTTCCAGAGACAAAGGGCTGCAGTGTAGGCAAAGTGATGCAGATCGATGTTACGTTACATATGTAAACGCTAGTAATGGCGTTTTAGTATTTAAAAAAACCAGGCTCCAGTTTCAGGTTTCAACTTGGTAGCGTGCGTGATTTACAGATTAGTGGCACTAGCTGCAGTTGAACCAGTGCAAATACGTAGGAGGAGTGTTTTCACTTATGCTGTTTTTCGGAGGGTCCCGATGGCAGCTTTTTTCGGGGGCTAAAAGGGGGTCGCAGCAGTCTGAGGCCTCCCCGGGATACAGTATGTGGGCCATATGAGGATATGGGCGCTCACTGGGCTTCCCACTCCTCATCGGACACCTCATCATGGGGAATGATGCGAGTGTTGCTGGCCCGGATGCTGCTGATGTTAGTGAAAGAGAGGAGGCTCGCAATGCCCATCGGACTCACTCCGGTGCCATCCAGGTTCACCTGAGCCAGATGCATGTGTTTCAAGAACTTCAGTCCTGAGGAAAAGGTAGAAATGGTTCAATGACTCAAGAAAAGATAGCAGTTTTCTGTTGTGAGTCAGATGAAGAAACGCTAGTGATTTTGGAGTTTGACCTTACCGTGGTCTGTGATCCGCGTGCGGCTCAGATTAAGTTTCACGAGCTGATTGCACCGAATCAGACCTCTCCTCACTACCGTGTCTCCCACCTGCGTACTGGCTAACCCCAACACCTAAAAACACAGGGGGAAAAAAAGAGTAAAATATGATTAAATACTATATAACCTGTCTGCAAATGTACACCAACGGAAAAGTTAGCAATTAGCTTCAAAGCAGCTGTTCTGTTAAACATTTTTTTTAATCTATTAACAAAACCGTACATTGCACGACAGATAATGATAAGGTTTTTACGCCACTTAAACACCTTGAAATCCCCTTTCTGAGTCTGGTTTAACACATTTCCCCAATAGTGTTTTTGTAAGGACTGTCAACACTAAATGAAGGATTGCTCTGGCAGGGTTTGATCCGCAAAGCCATCTGACTTCACCTAGTTCACCTGTGTGTTTATAATAATAACATTTTAACGTTGCAGTTTGTCCTCTATCATTGTAAATCTTGTAATAGGCAATTGAACAGAAACGAACTCACCTGGAGGTGCGGCAGAAAGGTGATGAGTTGGGCCACTCCTCGACTGGTGACCGCTGTCCGGTCCAGACAGAGCTCCTGAAGCTCCAGCAGGCCTCGCAGAGAGGGGAGCCCTGCATCTGTCACCTGGGTGTTGCTCAGTGACAGCTTCTTCAACCTGCACAAAGTACACAACGCTCCTGTCAGTATCTCTGTGTAATCACACCGAAACAATGTGTTAAACAGCGTGGGAATGACCTGATCATGGTGGAGAGCTGGCTGACTCCCTGGTCTGTGACCTGTGTGTAGTCAGTCAGGTCCAGTTCTATGAGCACAGACAATCTAGAGAGGAATGATAACCCGCTGTCTGTCACGCAGTGCCTTCCAGGGAGAGTCAGCTGGGTCAACTTTAGACCTGGAAGGAAAGTAGAAACCTCTCTTAGGAGTTGTATTGACTTGGAACATGTGGTTTCAATCCATCAATGTGCCTTATTTTCCATTACCTGAGATGATCTGCAGGGTGTGATTACCATCTGCTACAGGGATTCCTGCCAAACTGAGGGCAGACAGAGCAGGGTGGGTGGAGAGGTGCTCCAGGGAGCTCTCTGTCACATCTGTCCCATCCAGGTTGAGAGTCTGCAGGCTGGACATCTCTGCCAAAGCTGACACATCCTTGACCTGGCACCCATCGAGACAAAAAGAAAATGTTAAAAACGGGCTTTTCTGTGAGTTACCACTCGTGATGTGCCCAGTAAAGCTGAGGGTACCTTGGTGTGCTTGATGCTGAGCAGCCGCAGGTGTGGCACACAGGAGGGCAGGGCTCCCAGAGTGGCTTCAGTCACAGCCGTCAGGTTCAGGCTGAGCTGAGAGAGACAGGACGGAGCGGACTTGAGATAAAGTACCATCCCGGCGTCTGTCACTTTGGTCTGGTCCAGGGACAGGAAGTACAGGCTCTTTAAACCTTGTGGAAAGAAGACAAATGGTGTCACTACGTGGCAAAATACATCAAGACAAAGCCCATTCTGCGAAAGTACTTAACGCGGAGCAATTTATGTTGGGATCTGCCTTTTTTGCACGCAATTGCCTATAAAGTGGTGTTAGCAGTTTGCAGAAAGCCTTACCTGTGATATGCTGCAGACAGGAGTCGGTCAGTTTGCAACAGGAGGACAGGTTCAGGTTCTGGAGTTTAACCAGGCTGGACAGGATCGACAGGCCAGAGTCTGGAAGAACAAAATAAGATGGTTAAAATAAATTGGCAATAACCAAACTAATTGCGGAACAATAACAAAAACGTCATCCCGAGATGTAATTCTGTACCAGTGATGAGAGGCGAGTTGACCAGACTCAGATGCTTCAGTGCTGTGAAGGCCCTTAACTGCCGCAGCAGCTCATTGGTGGAGTAAGGGTAGCAGTTTAGGACAAACTTTTGCAGTGGGCAGCCGAAGAAGAGCTCCAGGGTGCGAGGACGTAGGAGCCTCTCACGGGACATGTGGTTCAGCAGGAGCTCTGCTAGCTCCGGGGTGAGGCATGCCAGACTGCTGCTGTACTGCATGCTGGGAGCTGTAGTAGGGAGTAGATCAAAAGGGCCATGGATGCTGACAGTGGGTAAAATGTTCTGGCTAATAAGTGAGTGTTCTAAATGGTCTCTTACCAGTCATGAGGTGGACAGTTGCACGTGTTGCCAAGGCACATAGAGACGGCACGCTGGGGGCCCTGTAGGGTTTTTTAGGGGGTGACGGCTGTCCCTGGGAGGCACGGGGGTCTTCTTGCTGCGCAGCTCTTTGAAGACGCTCCACTGCAGCCAGACCTGCGGCTCCAGGAGCCTCCCGACCCCCCGCATCCTCTGCCTCTGGTGGATCCTCATGAGGGGCCTCCCTGAAACACACAAATGCAACTCTCTTTTATATCGACGCTATATTTTAATTAACATGAAACATATTTTATGGACCATTAACATGAAAAAAACCATCCCTGGTTATTCTAAAATGCCAGCAACGTTTTATGTTTATGAAAACCCAGTACATGGGATACTACAGAATAATTCATTATAACCAGCTGCAAAACGGTTTGAATCAGTTGTAGTCCAGAACATATAAAGTTGTATTAATTTACACATTTTTATGTAAAATTGTCATATTGCCTTTACACCCACCTGAGTCGATTGCCTTGCTCTGGCCAGAGGTGCCTGGGCTCAAATTCTCCACGAATCCTATTATCTGGAAAGAAAGGCAGCCGTGGCATCCCTGTAAAACATACAGTGAAAAGTGACAATTGTAAAATATCACCAAGCTGTAACTCAAAATACTAATAGCACTTGTATAGTCCTCTCGTCTTTAATATTAAAAAAATTGTTATGAAACTGAATGGAAGTAACTTGAAGCCAGAAGAAGTTCTAGGAGGATTAGGAAGTCACATACAAGGGAAGCAAGCAACATGTAGGTGTTAGACTCAGAAAGTAGTACCATTAAGCATATCAAGTGCTTCTTCCTCTTCTCCTTGTTCTTCATCCACCTCAATGCCAGCATTTTCCTCCACATCAGCAGCCAACTTATGGCCCCGGCCTGTTGAACAGAGCAAAGAATATTATTGAATGACTGAACAGCTATTTAAGAAATTGCTCGATATTCTGATTTGTTTAAATAACTGAGCCTATAAAGTTGCAATGTGAGGAGCTATTTCAGAAGTCTAAATGATTTTCTCCATACAAATCTGATTGTAAATGTAATAATATTTTTACCCCAGGAGTGAGATGGCCCAGACAGTGGACCCCCTCCTGGTATCCCTGCGTAATTCATGGCCTCTTCCCACACCTGGTTGGGGATTGGAGGAGGTAGGCCAAGGTCCCGCCCTCCCGCTCCCTCCAGGACAGGGATATGTGGCTGAGGAGACGCATCACAAGGAGACGGCAGGGATGATAGAGGTTCTGCGGGACTCGGTGGATCCTGAGGTGTCTCTGGAGGAGTGGTCTGAATGCACAGTGCAGCGTTGGGTGTGAGGCCGAGTGAGTGCAGTGAACAAGCCAGCTCCGCCTCCCCGAATCGCTTCCGTGGAAAACCTTGGAGGAGAGAAAAGGAGGATAGGGAAGGGTGGCGTCCGGCGATGTGCTCCACGACGCTGCGGAGAGGAGCGTCAGCTGGGAAGCGCTCACGCATGGACTCGCCGGAAGGGAGTCGAATCTGCAGCAAAAAACAAGATTTTCTGTAATTTCATTGTATCTACATCAAACTTACACATTCATTGATTATCATATGCCTTACCATGAGGAGGCAGTTGTTATCCACATTAGTTTGAACTGTTCCTCCGAGTTTTTGCGCTGGAACACTGGGAGGAGACGTCTCTGTGGCGGGGCTGGTCTGCTTCTTCTCCTGCAAGCTTCTCCGATCCTCAGCTATCCGCTTCAACACCAACTCGCGCTCCTTGCACACCAAACACACACAGGGTAAGATGTTCTGGCCTGACATTACAGTTTGGACACAACATTTTCTATGTGATAAGAATTAAATTGCTGACCTGTTTCTTTTGTCTTCTCTCAGTTCTGGCCTCCTGAGCAACACGGTGTCTCTGCTGCTCCTCAAAGTCACTCTTGTCCTGTTTGATGCGGGACTCGACTGGAAGTGGTTCAGGGGACAGGGCGCCTGACTGGGATTGTTTCAGCACCAATGAAGGGGACGCTGTCAAAGTGAAGATAAGTGAATTTTGCACACTAAATTGGCATTATTTTCGGTCTTATTCAAAACCTATTTGTTAGATAAAAAGATATACAGGGTATAACAATGGTGGATTCAAGTTATACAGAACCCTCTATCCTTAAAACAAATGTGGTGTTATACCTCTGCTGTCAGAAGGAGATGTAGGTGTCTCAGAAGTACTTGCTGCCTCTTTTGGTGGGTTGAAAGCAGAAAATGCTGTCTCAGCAGGCTGTGCTGAATGCTTAACCAATTTGTGCCGTGGATACTGACCCTGCAAGAGCCTGTCAACATAGGATAGGAATACAGAAACATTATACTAAAAAGACTGGTCATTTAATTAGAACGATATTGGCATTTATGAAATGCTAAATATTTGGGATTTCAGAAAAGAGCTTGCATAACTTACCAGTCAGCTGCGTCAGACACAGAAAAATGCCCCGCCTGAACAGCTGCCTGAATCTGCTCCTCAGAGAACCCCATCTCACCAAGGATGAGGAATAGCTCCCCAATAGTCTAGAAAACAAGCAAATCAAATCAAAAATACATGTTAACAAAGATTTAACTATAGTTCTTTTTTTCAATCAGCAGTGATGCAGGAACAATTAGTATAGAGGGGTACATTTACTTTGATTCAATGACTGAAAAATAAAAACATCTTACATTTTCATTAAAGGTTAATAGAGAGGTTTTCGTCACATTAAAACAAAGATTTTAGACAGACGTTTTTACTTTGCTTATAGTGTCTATACTAGTTGTATAACTGCTTTATTTGCCATGTTTGGTTTGTGAGGTTGCCAATGCCACTATTCAATTAATGAATCAAATAAATATCCCGTTGATCCTTCCTTTTTTTTTTTTATGTGCACCTTACTATATTTTACTAATGTTACATTACCTATAGATAGTTACCTATTGCTTATGCAGTTTAATCAATAAAATACACTGTCTGACTAGTGTATTTTGCCTGTTTCATTATCAACAACACACTAGTGCATTGTACATTTGCTATTTGTTGCCTTGAACCTTAGCTTAAATGTATGCTATCTACCAATACGATTCACTTTTTTAAAGTCTGGATTAGCTACAACATATTTATGTATCTGTGTTTGTCCTTCATTTATACTGACTATAGCTGACCTGCATTTTCGCCATTAAACACTCCAAATCTAAGTTACTGTTTGCTTGTAAAGTTTGTAGCCTTTAGTTAACCTATGTCTGGGTAAATGCAATACTTCACAGTCAACTCAGCAAATGTATACTAACCAACAGATGACAAGCTAACCCACAGCTAATGCTAAGTATGTTGTTATGTATATGGTACAGTGGGGGCTGTCAACAAACAACGTTAGCATGGCAGCTAACAGTTAGCTGAGGCACAACGATGGCGACGCAAAAGCTAAAGCAGCTAGCTAGCTAGCTAATATGTATGTGCAGTGCAGTGTCATGTCAAACGCAGCTCTGTAATTTGCATCTTACCGGGGGGGCAGCAGAACTCATGCCGTTGTTTTAACGTTAACGAATGAAAATCAAAGTGTAGCTAATGCAAAGTAGTGTAGCAACTTTGTTGACTTCCTGGATGGATCTGCAGCGCTGCCTGCTAGTTTAGCAACACTGACGGAGCTCTCTGGGATTGACAGAACATCAACGAGAAACCAGCCTATCAACACTGCGGAGAGCAGGGGTTTCCTCCACAGAGGCAGCGGTGCACAAATCCAGTCTACCCTCAGTCCCTGCCCTGACAATAATTTAAATATCTCTGTTCAACATTTCCATATAATAGGAGATATTTTATGTAGCCTATGCGAAGAATAGACACCACACTGCCGGTGACCGTCGGACAGTGCACTATCATTTTCCAAACATGTGACATGGACAGTTTATTGCACAATAATCACATAAAAAAGAAAAACAACGAAAGACTGAGCGACAGAAACAAAGAAACAAAGGAATTGCAGGTTAATCATTATATATAAGTTAAGTAAAACCCTTGACTCCAGTAGCAGCCCTCCATCAGCAGGGGTCGCTCTTACTTTGTTTTTTATTGATATGACAGGTCTTCGCATCATGCAAGCTGCACATTCATGCAATCAGCTAATCAAATTTAAAAAACGTATTGGTTCATAGTAGACTTCAGGCAACGAACCTCCAAAAAACAAGGTTCTGTCAAGTAAGCTTTCATTTTTATAATTCTATCTGACTTACAAACATGATGACAATCATTCAAAACAGATGATTAAAATTGTCCGATAGATTAAAGGAATGTGGGACTCTAACTTTATTAAGTTTATTCAATATAGTTTCATAAAATAAATGACTACAACCTATCCAAGGAATGTATGATAAATCTAAGCTTTCTAAACAATTAAAATAAAATAAAGTAGGAAATTAAGGATTGACCATTTTAAAAGAATACCTGTGCATGTGTGTGTTCATTAGTTATAAGTTGTGGTGGGCACAAAATGCAGGACACACAGGCAAAGCAAGCTTTTTATTTAGGTAGCAACAGGTAGTTAGAAAAGGCAAGTATGACTAAAGAGGGAGCAAAAAGGCAGATCAAAAACTCTACAGTCTGAGATCATTAGCAGCAGATACTACCCAGAGTTAGTAGCTAGAGTAAACAAAGGCAGTACCACTATGAATCACTATGAATCACAATGACTGACCTGACATCTGGCAAAGAGTGTGATAATGGACTAGTGTATATAAGTGACTAATCAGAGGAAATGAGGGGCAGGTGTGCAAGTAATTGTCAGTTTGACCCTCCTACCTTCTTCAAGATCAGGTAAAACTGGAGCTATAGGGCTTGTATGCCACGTAGCTTTATTGGTACATGCTCTCAAACAAATGTGTTATTATTCACGCAAACCAGTTGACAATAATCATGCCTTAAGCGCAGTTTGAGGATCTTGGCCGAGAATATGTTGTTTAAAAAAAAGTGTATTATTGTGTTGGAAAACAGGATGTTTTTTGATTAATTCCCTGTTAGACATGCACATATTTTTTAGGACTTCTTGCTCAAAAGTGGAGACTAAAGGTATATTTTTCCCTTCCCTTTTCTACTTTTTTGTTTCATGATAAGTGGGCAAATTCCATCTGCTGAAGATAGTGTGAAACAATCAAAAGCTTGAAGTAGCTAGCTACTGGATGTATTTTTCTGGATATGGGTGGATGTCAATGCATCTTTGGTGTCAAATCATTGTTTTTTTTACAGGACTTGTTTGTATTTAAATAATAATTCGTAAGTTTATGATGATGATAATTAAGAAACATTGTCAGGTGGTACATTTAAATACCTTTCAATAGCTATAGTAGTCATTGAGTAAACTTACACTGTAAATTAGTCCTACATTTTTTAATGTTGGCTAGCGTTTCTAGTATTATGGCAACACTACTCCAAAGGTTAAGTTGATATGTATTGTTTTTTAATGTTTATGTTGTGGGTTGGTTTCTGAGAATAATAACGGTAAGGCGCTCTTGACTCTCTTCATACATAGTACATGCCCTCAGGCCCAAGCCGTCATCGGAAATATGAATCATCATATACGCACGCGCAAAAAATGTTATCTAGAGAAAATGGCGACAAGCTAAAATGATTTAGACAATTACACCGGAATTCCATTAATAAGGATTTCAAAATAAAGGAGCGAAGTGCCGTTATAAAAAGGTTTATGACCGTTTGATGCTTGTATCGAATGTTTTGTTATCCTGCATTTATAAAAAGCTCTTTAGTTAATGTAAAATCATGTATTTACCATAGTAAATGCTCACATTCACAGATGCTCGTCACGTGGTACCATAGCGTGGTGGCCCATGAATACTCTACCGGAAGTTAAAGTGACTTTATTTTGGCAATTTGACGCAATTGGACGCCAGTTGAGCAAGTCATTCAGAGAGAGTTTGAGGTGAGTACCAGGCACCGGTGAGAAATAAACCGGAATGTGTAAGCGAACGACTAAGTCGGCTTTTGCTTTGTAAATTCGCTTTTTTTGCTTTGTTCTATCATTATTTGAAACTCATGAACCGGTTTTAACTGTTGTCTTATTTTCCTGTGAAGAGACGCGGTGTGGCATCCACTAACTGCCACACATGCATGCGAGTTTCCACCGCTGCTGTTGCTGCTGCTGGTGGATGACTTCCCTTTGTCCGTCGGCTTTTTAACCAGATAAACAAGGGGCGAAAGTCCTGAAATGTGCCCGGACTTATAGTTATTTCCTGGTTTAAGCCTCTTTCCAGACTTGTGAGTGTTAACGGTACTGTTAGAAGAGTTCCTCATCCTAGCAAGCTAGCGGGTCACTCCTCCTGACAGTACGCTGGGGTGTTGAAATGTGATGCATGATGACGAGTTGGCTTGGGGAGAGTTGACATTTTGTCCACATAATGTGTCTTTTTAACAGAACAAGTCTTCACAAAGCAAAGTAAAGATAGCTTTACTCTTGTATTTATAATGTATTCAGTTATTGCTCACTGAAGAAAAGCAGCATGCGATGTCTTCAGTTTCTCAGAGCATAGGGTGACATTTATAAAGAGCTGTCATTGGCAAGTTTTAGATAAAACTGTAAATTGATAATATGGTTACCTGTATATAGCCCAGAAAGTGTTTGAAAAGTGACAATAGTACTGCAACTAACTACTGTTTCATTAATTACTAATCGCTTTTCTTTATGATGTCATAACATCCTGTTGCATGATCCCAGAGGTCAGGGGGACATCTCAAAATAGCTTGTTGTATTTGTTCTAAACCTAAACATATTCAATTTACATTTACAGCTGGAAAAATAGCAGCATCTCACATTTGAGTGGCAGGAATGGTGGGAATTTTAGCAAGTGACCAAATATCAGCACAATATTATATCTATATGACAACCATTGGATTCCCAACATTCTCAAACCCCTCGTTTCATCCCTTTGACCTCTATTCAAGGCTTTTGTTCTGTGTTTCTATTGTACCGTAGATTTAGAGATAAAAGTGGAGCACACTAATGAGGTAGCATAACCAGGCATAATGCTACAAAAGTGTCCACATGACAAATGGCTAAAATAACTGCCTGGACAAGTTGCTATTCATGTTATTTGTAGAGGTGGCAAAAGTACACACTCTCTTTACTTAAGTAGAAGTACAGATAGTTGTGTAAAAAAAGACTTTCGTAGAAGTACTGATTCAACTTTTTACTTAAGTAAAAAAGTACCGTCTCTGAAATGTAGTCGCCGTAAAAAGTAACTTTTAAACTGGCTGTTTTTGTGAAAAGCTAACGGAACCTTACATCATATTAATATAATATAACGAAAGTAACGAGCCTGTTTTGAAAATGTAAGAAGTAGAAAGTACAGATATTTGTGTTAAAATGTAGGGAGTAAAAGTAAGAAGTCGTTAGAAAAATAAACACTTAAGTAAAGTACAGATACCTGTACAGTAACAAAGTATTTCTACTTCGTTACTTCCCACCTCTGGTTATTTGTATCCTTTTAAAAGTTAAAGTATTTAATATATTCAAGGTAACTAATCTTATCTATAAAACTGTACCCACCAAATATTCATTGTTTTTCTGTCGTGTTTAAACAGCATTTATTTTCTCTTGTCAAACACAGGTGAAACTAATAACATGAATTACTGCTGTAAAATGATTACTGGAACTGAGCCAAAGTTAGTTTTATTAGTAGTTTAATGTGCACTATTCCTGGTTTGACAAGCCTCTATTCATTTATACAACATAAACTAATGCAAATAAAAAACGTGGCTACTTATGCTACTATTATTAATTATAAAATGTATGAAATATCAGTAAATATGTTTGCCATGCACCCATTTGAAACCCCTCTCTTGCTCAATGCATTGTCATTGTCCCACAATTGTTTCTGTCACATGGCTAATAGATGTCGGGACACTGGCAGGATGGAGGAAGGATGTCCCTCCTCTGCTGACTCATCAATATCTATAATAATGCGTCTCAATGTGCACTGCAGGTCATTTGAGGGGCTGATTTACTTTGATGTTAATCCTAGACACATGATAAAGCGATTATCTCTTCCTGGATATTATTAAACCAAAGTAAATCAACCACTGACATTTTTATCTCACAAAACTTGAGCGCTTCAAGGTCTCGTACAGAGCGGAATCTAAAATGTTTGTCTTGGTGAATCTGACCTTGTTCGATCTAAACTCTCAAATTCCACAGCGGCTTCCTTTTGCCCTCTAATCCTGCGCGGTGCTTGAACACATTAGATAGATCCATCTTATCTGCGTGATCACAGTCCCTGCCTTTATTTGTTTTCCTTCGCCTCAGTGCAATATGTCAAACGTACTTTTCGTAAACTGATTTGTGACAACAATGGTGTGTTTTCCTGGAGGGGAAAAACATTTCAAAGCAGAAAGTGTCTCCACATTGTTGTGAATTGCTTGGTCATGCTGAGGACAAGGGAGGGAAAGGAGTTGATAATAAGTTTTTCTGTTTTTTTTTTATATGGCCTGTTGACTCTTCATGTTTATTTTACATTCTCCTCTTCAGATAAACAGTCCCAACGTTTAGTAACATCAGGCCTAAAAGACAGTACATCTCTGACCGTGCATAGTTTGGGCTACCATCCTTTCACATTGAACTCTATTTAGCTGTCTGAAATGTGTAGTTTTTGGAGCATTAATTATTCACCAGACAGGCGTTCTGCCACTCTTCCCACTTCCTTCTTCGCTGTGTAATTCTCAATATTTTCTAGCAAAGCTTTTATGTTTGTGTTGTTTACAGTACTCAAGTTGTAAAAAAAAAATCAGGGGGGATGGTGGATTTGATCATATGGGGACATAATTTGTGCTGATAACCCGCAGAGGGTGGGAGACCAACCAGCATAA